AAGGAGTAATATGGAGAGGTGTTATGCAATACTTCAGAAGGAATACAATTAATGAGATAGACTGCCATAAAAGTAGCCTCAACCCAAAAGTTAGGCAGAGCATGAGAATCAAATAACAAAGTTTTAACTACCTCTAAAATATGATGATTTTTCCTTTCAACAATACCATTTTGCTGTGGGGTAGCAGGACATGACCTCTAAGACTAAATACCCTCAACCTTCAAAAATTCTTGAACTTCTTTTAGTAAATATTCACCCCCAGAATCAGAACAAAAAATATTTATATTAACATCAAATTTTGTTCTAATCATGGACAAAAAGGTTTTAAAATGAGAGAACACTTTAGATTTGTGTCGCATAAAAAATATCTATGGAAATCTTATGCAATCATCTATACATAAAACAAAATACTTATATCCCAATCTAGATGAAACAGGAGAAGGACCCCAAACATCACTATGTATCAAATCAAAGGGTTTAGCTGGAGTCCAAGAATGAGTTGGAAAAGGTAAGTTTGCACTTTTACTCAAAGAACAACTAATACAAGATTTATTAATGGAATCCAATGGCAAAGTTTTATTATTCCAAAGACTAGAAGTAAATAATGTATCTAATCTCTTAACATTGAGATGACCAAGTCTACGATGCCATAAGTGCCAAAGATTATTAGAACAGAGACATCTTTATTAGAAGAAACAAATAAACCAGCATCACTATGTCCTTTGTTAGATTCCAAGGCAAACAAGCGGCTAATCGTACGCCCCTTCCCTTTCACTATCCCAATGCGACAGTCCTGTATAACACAACCAAAATGAGAAAAAGAAACAACATGATCAAAATCATCAAGTTGTCCAACAGAAATTAGGTTGGTAGTTAATTTGGGTACTAAAAAGACATTTGGCAAATGAAAAGAGGATTGAGATGCCATAGATAATGTAAGATTATCTGTACCAACTATATCAAGTTTTTCACCATTTGCAGTTTTAATTTTATTATTCCCTTGGAAAGGTTTAGCTAAACTAGGGATAGGGTGAGCTTTAGTCATATGATTTGAAGCACTAGAGTAAATAAACCAAAGAGGATTTACAAAAAAAGTAAATGCTGAATTCTTACCAGATAGACCAATAGCAGAAAAAGCAAGAGTAATAGCTGAGATACTGAATTCAATACCAATTTTCAAACTTCATTTGAGATAAGTGAATCTTTTCCTTCCACAAAACTAGGATTATTTGTAACAGATGATGTAGATGACAGTGTAGGAATTGATTCAGTGCATGGAAAACTAGTTGCTTGATATACTCGATGATTGGATTTCTTCTTGGAATTAGTCCCCTTCTACTTTAGCTCAAGACAATCTGTAATAATATGTCCAGATTGTTTGCAATAAACATAAGCATTTTTCTTCTTACAACAAGATGCAACATGGCCAAATTCTTGGCATTCAAAACATTGCACCTTAGAAAAATCTTTCTACGATGTCCTTCCCAAGGTTTTACTAGCAACAAATGTAGTTTCAGCCTCCCCTTTGTCTAGTGTGGCTTGTGTTGAAAGTCTAGTCTCCTTCCAAAGGAGCTCTCCCAATAACTTATCCATAGAGGGCAATTTTACCCGGTTCAATATACTAACACAAAGAGGCTCAAATTCAGGTCTTAATTTCATCAAAAATTGCATCACTTTTCTTTCATCATTCAAAGTCTATAAAATCTATAAGCAACAATTCTCACAGTCACCCATAATGCCTTGCTCATATTCAGTCCACAAACTCATGAAAGCAACATAATAATCTTGAATATTTTTATCACCCTGTGCAAACTTGAATATGTCAAATTCAATATGAAATTTCCTAGCCCAATTTGATTGCTGATAGAACTTTTCAAGATGTTCCCACATTGCCTTAGCAGTGCGAAATCCTCACATAGGGATTTCGATATTAATATCAACAGAAGCCAAAATCCAAGAAACAATTTTTGCATTATTCATCTTCCACTGTTGAAGTTCTTTGACTTTTGATGCTTTAGGCATAGGCTCGGTTCCATCAATATAGCCCCACAAACCTTTGCCTTCTACAAAGAATTGAAAATGGAATTTCCACAAAAGAAAATTCTTTCCATCTAATTTGACAACCAAAGTCTCATATTTCTTAGTCATTATTGAATCCAATTCTACAACAACAAATCAAGATTCAAATCAACCAAGGAGAAAAACAAATAAGAGGGTAATCAATATTATTGTCAATACGAGATGAAAAACTCAATCAAGAAATCCAATCTCCAATCCATGCTATGATCATGACAAAACAGGAAAGGAAGAACCTGGTTTGGCTTCAACGTCAGATTCCTTTACAATGACACAGAAAGAAGAAAAGGAGTTCTCGCCATCGCCACCTCCAATATTAGTGGTGGCAGAGTCTGAGTTAGAAAAAGTGGCAAAGAAAGTGGAATTGCCACAGCTGGTGGTTACGGAGTCAAAATCCCTAGCGGCGATGTCTCAAGAACAAGCGAAATTGACCCTGATACCATCTAAAATCAGAGGCAGAAGTGAAGGGTGCAAAAGACATTCCTAGCTTCTCACCCTTAGGAGCATATTTATATTAGGGTTATATACAATGTAAAATTACATAAAGACCCTCAATATGATACAAAATTACAAAATACAAAATATTCTATTTCCTACAGCCAGTTTCTACACGACTCTCGCAGTGACAGTTCCAATACTTCTCAATCATATGCTTGTCATGCCGCCAAGCCCGTAGATCAAGTGACCAGTGGTGGTCGAATTACCACTGTTGACATAGCTAACAATGACCACAATGTTAATGTGAACCTTCTCAATACTTAGGATGCAGTCTGAGATTTCACCTGCACCACAAATTTAAAAACAAAAAAGAATTTGGAAAATGACTTTTAACTACATTATATATTTTTTCAATTAAAAAACACAACTTATCTACATAACAATAACTTAATTTTCTTTAATAAAAGGAATTAATTCAGTACTCAGTACTGCCCCTTTTACCGAGAAGAAACAAAAAAATCAGACAACTTCAGTTTAAATTTAAAAAGCACGATACTTTCCCAAACCTTTAAAATTTTAAATTGTTGAATAGAAATATTCTTTAAATCAACATATTTAAGTTAACATAGATCAACAATAGGATAAGTAAAAAAACTACTCACACAAACTGCAGTATTTTTACAGCACCAGATTTTTTGTCTTCCTTTTTTAGAGTAAAAATATTTTGATGGCATTAAAATACAAAAAAAAATGAAACGAATTAATGAAGATAAGATATCTAATGAGTTGATTATAGCAAAAAAGAAAAAAAAAAAAGAAAAGAAAAAAGTTTACCTAACTTACATCTGTTATGTGATATCCTTAAGTGCTTTCATTAACAACTTCAAAACAATTTCTATGGTCAATCAGCTTCATCACATACGATTAAATCATCTTACCTAATTAATTAAGCAAGGGGTGTTTTCTTACCAATTTTGCATGTTAAATTCTTTCCATTATCAATTGGAATTTCAAGTAAATAAAAAAAAGGTTTGATTACGATTAACCTTTAAAAAATAAAAATAAGAAAACTGGATCTAAGAAGAAAATGTGCTCGACTTACAAAATCGTCATAGAAAAGAAAAGGAAAAAGTAAAATGATTGGTATATTATTCGATTCAATACATCAATCAATATTTACTGATTCAATAATTAAAATTTACAGTTAAAAATTTTTTAAACATGAATTCAAATTTCAAAAAAATAATTTTTTAATAAAAGTATTGTAAAGTGTGTGTTTACACCTAAAATAAACCAATAGGGTAAGGCCAC